TCGAAGGAAGAGAAAGAAAATCGGCCACCGAAGCAAAACCAGTTGCACTCATATTATCCTTAAAAAGCTACTCCGGTGGTGGCCTGTTCTCCTATTCTTACTTGCCGCGGCTCTTCTCATCTTCGAGGCCTCTCGAATTGGAACAAGACCTAGTTCGCTTGTTAAAAAACCGGATCCGGTGACCGAACATAAGCTTAATAAGCCTGTTGAGAAGAAGAAGCCGGCGAATTTAAATCGTCTCGATCCGGTAACTCATGTTGTCCATGGAGTTAGAGAACGTGAGTTTTTTGCATTATGATCTAATTTATTTAAGTGCGTAACTACTGTTTGCTACTATTACGATATCAGTTTATGCAGAATGTGCACATTGCTTGTATAATTGAAATGAGTTTAAGTTCTCTTCACTAACGGTGTAAAATATGTTTAAAGTATCAGGTCACTTAGTAGGTAATTACAAATAAATCTCTTTAGGTAATCAAGTAAAAATGGTAAATTTCACTGATGGTGCAATTTCTTTTTACCCTATCAGTATATAACCTAAATCCAAATGAAGTTTACTTACATTCTATATGAAATCCCCCTGATATAGTGATTTAAAAGTTGAATGATTTAAGGAGTTGATAGGCTGCTTAAACTATGCATGTCTGTAATATTTGGCCAAGTATCCAATTTGAAGCTCTTAATGTTTCTGATTTGTTATATCCTACAAAGAGATGAAATATGTGCTAGGCATAAGGGCAATGATAAAAATCTGGTCTTTATGAGCTCAGATGCTCTATTCAGGTTCTTCCACTCCCAATTGATTTCCCTTGAACTTTCCAGACGAGGGCTATTAGTTGGGAGTTCCGATATTGGTCAATATGGGTCTTTAATGGTGTTACTAAGCGAACTGCTTGCGAGCTAAGTTGCAAGGACTCTTCATTTTGTGGTGTCGCACACATGTCGACACGACACCAATACTAGTATGGGTGTGGGATACGTTCCGGATCTGGTCAATCAACATTGGGTACTTTGACCACAAACTACGGAGAAATTAGAAATATGATTTGGCATTTTGATTTCTCAAGACTAAAGCTAATGTAAATTTCTAAATGACTACCTAAGACTTGATAATAAAAGATTGAGTTAATGAACTCTACGCGCTACATGCAAGTTTTCCACAATGTCTCATAATTTAGGCATAATTTTGTAGATCTATTTTTAGATATAGCCGAATCCGCCCACTTGTATCCGTACCTAGATTCATATACCTGAATCTTAAAATTTAGATCACGTAGGATCCGGCCTCTAGATCGACACCCGTATCGGATATTGGCACCCGAGTCTGAGCAACTTAGCTTGCGAGTGACACTTGTTTATTCATCTAGAATTTCCTTGTAAATGCTTCCTTTCAGGTGTCCCAAAAATTTGACCTCTTTCCCTAAATGACAAAGTCATCTATTTTAAAAAGCCAAGTTAATGTATAATACTACTGATACTTGGAGTTATTATATGAGTATCTAAGATATAGGAGGAATCTTAAAGTTGGTGCTAAAGTGATCTAGCTGACATATGGGACAGATCATTTGGCGTTTCTTCAAGTAAAACTATGTTATTCAGCATTCCTTTGTGGTTTATTACACAGTGATTTTGTTTATGTACAAGATATTTGAAATGCGTCAAAGTGGATATGTTTTTTTGACCCATCGTCTTCAATAATGTGCAACAAATCATGCATCTCGCAGCCTGCTTGAAGCTACTACCAGCTGAAGAGCTTGAGCATCTGGATTTTCCCATGGATAAAGTACCTGCTGATCCTATTAAACTGGTGATATACACCACAAAGGCAAATCCTGCTTATGTTGATGAGAATATGCCATTTGAGCAACACTCGGAGGCCACAAGATTTAATTTATTCACAGGAAACCAAACTCTCAAGCAAAGGGATGAAAGTTTTAAGGTTGTCGACCTGCATCTTGCTTTTGGTGATTACCTATTTACCTATGAAATAAGTTATGTATCTCTCTCTTTCTTTTTCTTTGACAATTTGCTTAAGCATTATCTCTCAGGTGAAAGGAGAGGCTTCTATCCACTGTGGTTTTTACAGTGATAAAGGTGGCTTTAGGATTTCTGTTGAAGATAGAAGTTATATGGAATCCTGCAAAGCTGTTGTGTCGACTTGTGCATTTGGTGGTGGAGATGATCTCTATCAACCTATAGGAATGTCAGAGTCATCTCTCAAGAAGGTTATCTTTTTGGGATTGTTAATGCTTATGAGTGCTTTTCAATCTTTAGTTGACACGATGTGTGATTACAGTTGCAATCGCAAAGTAGTTGGGTTGGAGCGCTGGAGAATTAATTGATGCAGGACACATTAGTTTACTCAATGTTTTTGGAATTAAATGATGCAGGTTTGCTTTGTGGCTTTTTGGGATGAAATTACACTTGCATCACAAGAGGCAGATGGCCATAAAGTTGGTGATGACCATTATATCGGAAAATGGCGCATTATCCTTGTTAAGGATCTACCTTTCCGAGACCAAAGGTTGAATGGTAAAATCCCAAAGGTATGCTTATTGCCTAATTCCTCGATTTCTCGTATGCTTTTGTATTTTACAATGAAAATATCCTAATACTTAAAGTGAAGCTTCTGGTAATCTTGCCCTACTCCCGATAACAAGATTCTTCTCCACGATGCGTCGAGAAATAATGGTGCCTTACAAATTGGAAGTGCTATAAAGCAAATCGGATTGATGATCCAATTTTGAAGATTAATAATGTCGGGAAAACCAAATTTAGTCGCCATTTGATGCTTCCTTTTAAGATTTAATAATTGGATTTTTGGACCATGTATCATTTTGGAGGAGAACATCCATCATCTCACCTGCATACTCTCCAACTGCTTGATTTTCCATTTTTTGTCTCTGTACCTGGGCTCCCCATTGTAGCAATAACAGCAGAAATTGCATTATTTAATTGATGATAGCATCTGAAGTTCATGTGCCTTTGTTGTCATTGATCTAGTAGGTAAAAGTTGTACAAAGTATAACTGTATAATTTGGCAGCAAGTGGTCTCCAATTGTGGATTTCAGGATGTTGACCAAAAAAGTAGTTTTCAGGATGTTTGTGCTAGGGTTTTGATGCTTTTTGTCCAATATTTAGCCCACAATACTCTCTCAATACATTTTCAAGTTTCTTATATTTATCCCTTTGAAATTGTTAAAATAATAGGTTTATGTGAATGTGTACATTTTTTCTTGCTAGCAGCTGTTTTATAAGGATTTAATTCATGTCTAAATTAATCAGATGCTGGTCCATCGTCTCTTTCCGAATGCTAGATATTCCATTTGGGTAGATTCGAAATCCCAACTTAGGAGGGATCCATTGGGTGTATTGGAAGCTTTGCTTTGGCATTCAAACTCTGTACTAGCAATCTCTGAACATGGGGCTCGGAGTAGCGTGTATGATGAGGCAAAGGCTGTTATCAAGAAAAACAAAGCCACTCCAGAGGAAGTGGAGGTGCAGTTAGCTCAGTACCGTCAAGATGGCCTCCCTGAGGATAAGAGATTCAATGGGAAGAAAGGTAGGATTTCTCATTTCCCTTGTCAGCTGGGGATGGGCTATTGGGCTTACCATAATTGTTATCCACTGCATAATCATCATAAAACTGTTCCTCAATTCCACAAAAGAGACAACCCTTGTCCTCCCAAGTAGATAAGTCATTCTCACAGTCAATTTATCTGTTGCAGCTCTAGCTGAAGCTTCAATTATTGTGAGAGAGCACACTCCATCAACTAATCTGTTCATGTGCCTATGGTTCAATGAGGTGGTTCGCTTTACGTCCCGTGATCAACTGAGTTTTCCATATGTCCTTTGGCGGTTCAAAGAGTTTAGGAATATCAACATGTTCCCTGTTTGTACACGTAAAGATCTGGTTAATAGCATGGGTCACCTAAGAAAAGCGAAGCCTCTAACAAGTTAATGTATATTCGTTGTTTGCACGAGAAAGGTAGCCGAAACAAGAATGTTCAGGTCTTTCTCCAAGGTTCGAGCATATTGCTTCCTCTATTATGTGTGCTGATGACATTGGATAGAGAGATCGGATAGGATTAGCATATTCCTATTTATTCTTCAGAATTCAAAGGGCACTGTTTTTGCCCTGCAGCCTGCAGGGATAGGGAGAGGTCGAGGGGGTTTCATCAATGGGAAGAAGAGGAGAGCAGTGAATATGTTGTGTATTAAACAGAGTGGAAGGTCTTTTATTGATTTATAATTCTTTTATCATCACTTTTGAACAAAGTGGCGTTTTTTGGAAGGTTTTTTTAATCAATTTATTATTCTTTTATTATCACTAGTTTTTTGAAAATGCTAAATTTGTTGGGTATTCTGCCAGAGATCGCATTCTACTGTGTTAATATTGAGGTGCGTTAACAAATTTAAGCACCTAGTTTAGCTCTCTTGGATTAGTGCAGGATTTGCTCAATAATAATGGTGATGGTCAAGACTAAAAATACTTCCATACTTGAGTCATTATACAAGAACCTTTCTATCACAGCTTCGTTTGTTCTGGATATTTTTGGATGTTACGGCGAATTGCTGTTATAGAAAACATATATTATAACAAAACATGAAATTTGGTTCCGGCAAAAACTTAACTTTTATAGTGAAGTGGTGTTATATAAGATGTTGTAGAGAAGTCTGATTGTATTTGTTCTTTGTTTTCGATTACTTGATTGTTGGTGAAAAATTACTTACTATATTGGGCCTAGACTAAAATTTCTAATAAGCAACTTCTCTAGTGTAGTGTTGTCAACTACGCAAGTTAACTCTCTATTCTATTCTCTTGTTTAAAACGATTCTGTAAATGAGAAAGCCATCAGCCTCTTTCAGTATTGACCATAAAATGATGTATACTATATCCCAATCCCACACTGTCTTTTATGTCGTAGTCTTGGAGAAAGAATTCACAATTCAAAGGAATCGTAATATATACAAATGCAATTCATTTTACTGCCTCTGAATAATATAAAAAGAAATATGAATAAATTTATTTGAATTGTTACAAATTGAAAGAATTATTAACAAAAAGGTCATATATGAGAAGTCATAATTGTTACAAATTTTCTTGCTCTATACATATATATATACTTCTCCACCTAAAGGTAGATTTTCTTAGTTGCCAGCCTTTGTGGTAGTGACAGCAAGTCTAGAAAGAATGAATACACAAATGGAGGAAACAAACACAGCTCCAGCAAAACAAGCTAGATCCAGTCCATTAACCACAGGAATATTCTTGAACTTCTCTAATACTCCAACTTGAAGTAGCATTATTAGTGCATGTCCTATTCTTGATTTGGCTTGCATCACTGATTTCATTCCCATTATTGATGGAATTGTCTGAAAGTAAGACAAGTTTTTGCCTGTCCCTTGATCTCCTTTAACATTAATATTTCTTGATCCCACGAACATGACATACAATCCCATTCCAAAAGTAAGCATAGCAGTCCCCAAAATAAACATATCTGAAAGAAAAAATAGAACATTATATTGTCGATTAGAGTTTAACTTCTGTATGCTGATAGTGTATAATTCTTTTATACCATCAAATTAGACAAACATGTCACGGTCTATTAGTGACTCTACTTGGCCACATAAAAATGTTGGATTTTTTGTAGTGTGAATGGGAAATGAAAGGATGTCCCATATGAAATAAAGTGAAGAAAGTTATTAGACTTATTTTGAAAAGCACTTCTATTAGTTCTTAAAGAATCGAATAGTAGGCAAACCTGTTGTCTTCGTAATTATTTGCACTATTAATATTAATGTTTATTTTCGTCAGTTGCATCAATTCCAAAAGGAAAGTGGAAACTATCAAAAGTTTAAGGAAGAGGAAAATAATAATTACCTATAGCTTCGATCAGTAGTTGCACGACATGTCCTAGGTCTGACTTTTGTGAGAGTGCCATAAAATAATGGAAGTATGACTCTATGACTAGGTAACAACCCTGCAAAATAACGAGGATGTTTAATTTATGTATTACAGTGATAATACAATTTAGAATCGAACTATCAATAAATATTACTAATATATTACCTCGACAAAGCATAACAATGAACCAATCAAAGTCCCTGCGACTGCAAAGAGAGTGAAGAACCTGCAATCCAAAATACCCTGCAAAACAGAATTCCATATATCCACTCAGAAAAATTTAATCTTTAGCATAACAATATACTTTCTTGGTTTCTTATTCATATAGTTAACATGAAGCAGGAAATGTCCATCTGGGATTTGGACTTGTGCACCAACACTATTAGTAGAATTTCAATTGTAAGGTGTAAGGGTCCGGAAAGGGCCGGACTATAAGGGTATATTATACGCCGTCTTATTTTGCATGTCTGCAAGAGACTATTTTCACCGTGACCTCCTGGTCACATGTCAACAACTTTACCGGTTGCAAAGTTGAGCCAACTATGTATCTATGGACTATGCAGATATAAAAACAAAGTATTCCTCATATAATAAATCACGCTCATTTTGAATTCATGTATTCACGCCTCTGCTAATTAGAATATCCCTATGAGAAAAAGAAAATCCATACCTTCTCGATGAACAACTGCAAATGATGCAACTTCTGCGGCATTTCTTTGAGGAAAGTTTTCAAGTTCTGAAGTATCAGATCCGAGACATTTTCTACTACTAAACCGATATCTGGAAACCAGTTCTGTGTCATTGGTTCGTCAACAACCACACATGCCAATCTTGACATGGTGCCTGCCCCGCCAACAGCCTTAGCAGCCACTGGTTTCTTCTCCATATCTCCGCCACCAACATTAACCTTACTACCTTTGTTTAAACATAGTAACCTCAACGAATAATTACTGAAAGATTTACAAGGTTTTTGTTTCTGAGCATTGTCACCTAACCCCATATGTTTAGAGGTACGTAACAATCTACCACTGATGGCCATTGTTCAGCTTGTTTAATTTTCTCTTTATTTTTTTTGCTCTTACTTTCTTTCTCCATTGGACCCAAGTATTTATATACAATACATAGAAAGAGTGCAGAAGATTCGTGGCATATTAGCTAGTATTGTCGTGAAGTAACGTCAAGCGGAGCCCTGACGTAACTGGTAAAGTTGTCTACTATATGACCAGGAGGTCACAGGTTCAAATTGTGAAAACAACATCTTGCATAAATATAGGGTAAGACTGCATACAATAAAAGTTTTGTCCGTCTCCGGACCTGAAAGTTTAGTACAACGTGTTAGTACTTTTTGTCGTGAAGTACTGTGACCTTTGTTTTGGCCCTGTTCTCCACTTTTCTTGGAGAGGTTGGTTTTGGTAAGGTATTATGAATTTTTCAACAATGTTAGTACATTACAACGTGTAGGGTCATAAGCATTCTCTTCCGCACACGTGGCGGTTCGTGTCATTCCGCGGACTTCTATTCGTACAGAGAATAATTTCAGAATTTGGAAAGAGGGATTCCTTTTTGCTTTACGTGGTTGAATTTTAAAACGCAGCTTGGGGCTGTATATCAGCTGTCGCCCCCACGTGCCTTAATTTGTAAAACCCTAGCGAACGGTGTATGCGAACAGATTGAATGTCAAGCAATTGAAGTTCCAGTTTAGTGGTCATAAGGTGATAGGGTTTTTTTTAATAGGCGGAATAGGGCTAAATTTGAATATGTTAAACAGGTCGAAGCTTACAGCTTGTTTGGGTTTTATAATATTGATGCTGTGCTATAATTCCATATATTTTGACGTTATTTACTCTATTTACTTGTTGCTTGGATGCTAATTTGTGCGACAATTGAGCTTAATAGAATTTATTTTACGTGTAGGAATGCTTGGACATGAAATGGAGAAAAGTTGCACGAAGTGGTACCTCAAATCTACAAAATGGAGCAATAAAAGAAGACATGCAAGGCAATGAAAAGTCACGGCCATAGACAGTGCAAGGCATTGTCCAGGGCACTGTCATTGGCGCCCCAGACAGTGCCTCGCACAGAAATGTTGGTGCCTCTGACAATGCCTCGCACCGACGATGCTATCCGAGCCACTTTTATTTCTTCACAATTTTTGGACGTGTAGACCTCAACTCTACCTTATAAATACCTCTTAAAGTTAATTTTTGGAGAGTTAGATTCGACCCAAGGAGGACATTATTGGAGAGGCAAAAGGCTACGGAACATTCTGGAGCGCGGATCACAAGAGTTTTTCTCTCCGTTCTTCTTTAATCTGTAGTTTAATGCTTTTCAATATTACTATGATTGTTTATACAATTATGAGTAGCTAAACTCTCTAATCTAGGGTTTGATGGAACCTTCTGGAGGATGAATTCTTGTTACGTTTTAATATAATTTTCCTTTTGAATATCCCTACTTGTTCAACTACGTGTTTATTGTTATTGATTGAATGACCATCAATTGACTGTGCCTATTTATTATGTATTATTTGAGAAAGAGTACATATTTAGGTTGTTGTCGAACAACGTCACTCCCAAGGTATATGAGAGATCAATACGGCGGGTTTAAAAGCGGGATTAGAGATAACGAAGCTTTGACGTGATCATAGTGAGCGGTGAAAAAGTGCAAGCTAGCGTAATTCGAGAGAATATGACTAGTACATTATTATAGTTGCTCGAGAGAAAATTACAATAAGTCGAGTGCTCATGATCAGTAGAGAAAACTCAGGCGAAATTGTAGGAGACGTAGCAGGAAGGATTCCGACAATTGGGAAAATCATAACTCTAGGCTTTTCTAATCTTGTCTCCAACCATTAATATCCCTAGTTGTTAATTTACTTCTTTAATTTGTTAGACATAAGAATCTTAATATTTATAATTTTGGAATTGTTCGAGCTTGTCTTTTTAGTGATATTGAACAGTTATAGTGAAACCTTAATTCTCTGTGGGATTCGACTCCGAACTTTTAAACCGGATTATATTTGCAGCGACCGCTTATCCTATTTAGGACTAGAGTTGGGCGTGATCAAATGTATCGTATCGTATTGTATTGTATTGTACTGTATCGTTTGATGTATAAAATGTTTGGATAGATTGTGTCGTTTGCCGTTGTTTCATGATATCACGCACTAGCAATATGAAGAATAAACTTGCAAAATTATGATACAGGGTAAAATTACTATATAAAAAGATAGGATAAATGATAAAATAAAATTATTTAACAATAATTAAGGGTGAGATTGAGAGAAAAAGACAAGGTAATGACGCAATCACACCAAATCGGTCGTTACATAAAGTGGCACATTTCGTCGTTACGCAACGATAAAATTAACGATACGATACAATAAAATTTAAGTAACAATCAAAACAAATATCGTATTTAAAGTAACAATACGATATGTTACAACATGTAACAACTATCCAAACAAGTTGTTAATCGGCTAAATAATGTGACAAAACCAAACCGCTCAATTAATATGTTTTCCTTTTTTTTTGTTAATGAAGAGACTTATATTAGAAATTAAGTAACGTGAAAGCTATAATTATTACAAGCCAAGATTGTTCGAATCCGAAACAAAGCTGATAAAGTAAAGGGATGGGGATTTTAACCCCGATATTGATCTGACACAACTGTTTTCCCGATTATATAACCAAAATATATTTTAATGAGCTAAATTTGACATTTCTATATGGTAAGATTCAAGCTCATCAATAATTTTCTGTACGACATCTTTCTCTATACTATTCATGGGTAAACCCCATACAAAAGATATTTAGGAAACAAGCCAGTGAAAAGAACAAAAATTGAATGTGTGGCCTATTCATTGGTACCTTACTTTCATCTTAGCTAGGTAAGCATTCGGAAAGAAGAAATTTTTTTGGGGTAAGCATAAAAACTATGGAGCTGTAAAATTTGTTGAACCATATTAAACTAAATACTTAGCGAAAAAAATGATGGTTTGAGCTTGTTTTGTGTATCCATAAATGAATAAATAAAGAACTGAATCGACTGTTGTGGTAAACATAAATAAACCGTCTCTATTCCATAAATAAAAAAGATTTACTGGTTTGAAATCTTTTTTTGTACCAGGGCAGAGCTAGAGGGTAGATATGCTAGGTTCATTTGAATCCAAAATTATAATGTGCATATAAGGATTAAATTCTTTTATATGTATGTATATAAGATATTGAATCCCCTTAACTTCTTTTCTTCTTTATTTTTTAGGCTTTTTTTAATCTCTTTGATAAAACTTTTGCATTGCCATTGGATTGTATTTGTGTTTACCCAGAAAATCAGATAAAGTTAAATTTGAATATGGTTCTAAAGATATGTGATATAATTTGATACAAACCGTATAGAGAAATAGTAATATCTATGTTCTTGACTATGGGGATGAGAATAGTGAGCAAGAAGAATGAATAAGATAAAGTAAAATGAGCACAAGGGGATATCTTTCAATATGAGAAGTGATCTTTTATTACAGTGTGTCAGATTGCCTTATGCGTACAAGGATTCCCCCTTTTATAGTAGAGGGATCCTACTTTATTCACAATAAAAAAACATATAGTGGAGAACCCATGATAAATTGTCTCTTCCTCGATTCCCGCTAAGATTCTCTCCCTTAGTGCGGTTGTAACGGCTCTTGTCTGCGAGCTCGATACTGGCTCGAACTTGTTATTGGGTCGAGCCCTCGGCTTTGGTTGAGTTCGACCTTCGGGATGGGTGTAGCGCATTTTCGACCACCCTCACATTGCCTTGCGGATCGACTTGGTCGTGGGCTCGATAATAGTATCGAGCCGACTCCCCGATCAGTCTTTGGAACTTGAGATAGGTTTGTACTGTCTTCGGGACTCATCTCAAAATCCCACTCCAGTTGCAGACCATTCGGATTCGATCGAACGTAAGAAGGCCGAAATCTATTTCGACCGTATACAGATAGTCCCCGATTTCTCAAGAAGGATGTGGTGAGAATCGATACGCTTTTTGACGGTTCGATCGAGTTATAAGCTGACGTTTTCACATGGCTCGATCATGACGTATGTGATAGCTATCCCATCGATTTAGTCTTTCAAGGTATTTAATGCATGTCAGACGGTGGTCGGCCACCGCTGATACTGAACCGTTACGATGTAAGCCTATAAATAACCTATCCATCTAACATTTACCACTTTTACGTCTTCACTCTTTCAATTTTTCTTACCCTTTCTCTCTATTTCGCCGCTTGCAGATCCATCTACACCAACATTTGGTATCATCAACTTTTCATCTTCCTTTGCCTTTCTTTCTCTCATATCAATGGACAAAACTTCGAAAACTATACCTCAGAAGGAGAAAGCTTCTTCTTCTCGGCCGTCCGGCGATAAGGCGCCGTTGGAGCCGCCTACCTATGAGTATGTTCCCGGCCCGTGTACTCTGAAGATCGATTTTAAGGTTGAGAATCCTTCATCTGTTCCGGGTCAATGTGAGCATGTGTCGATGTACATGTGCTCGATAACGGAGGGTCATCTCGAGGCTGTGAGGAAAGACAACAACTGGGGTTCCGAGGTTGTGTTGCAAATTCCCTCTCCCGAAGAGAGCATCATCACTCATGTGGAGAGGTTTTTAAGTGTTTACACTTACCCATTCACGTTGGGTCTGGTCGACCCGGTGATCATTGATTTTTGCAAAAGATATCAGGTCACCCTTGGTCAAATTCATCCCTCTCTATGGAGTATAGTAACCTTACTTCGCTTCTTCTCCAACAAGGCCGGAGGGATGGATTTTTCCCTGAATCACCTCATACGATTGTATCGGTCTCAAATCTTTCAAGGACTAATCAGGCTTCATCATCGGGCATCGAAGGCTTTGATGTCGAGCATCGACGAAGACAAGGATCGAGGTTGGATGGGCCGTTATATCTAGGTGAGGACCCGTGACCTCATTCCGGAAGAGAAGATGTCGTTCCCCGAGGAATGGAATTTCGACCGTAAGTGGTTTTCATAAGACATTGCTTTTCGTATCTTTTTTCAATTTTATCTGATGTCTTTCTCCGATATACAACTGCCCCTTGGATGCCACAAGCGGTACCAACCTCGAGGATTGGGTTAGGAATTTAGCCTCGACTTCCTCTTATGCCAAACGCGCTTGGCGTGATTTGGCAAAAGGTAGATGTGAGGCCAAGAATCTTGGTAAGGGT